AGGTGGGGTGAAAAGGAAACAAGGGGGGGGGGGGGGCAAGTGCACCACCCCAGATCCACCCATCCCCGCATACCAACCTTTATCACCCACCCTCCCTCTCGATCCACTCTTTCCCCAACTCCCACTGGCAATACTGCAGTTTTTACAAAACGCCTTAACTATCCCCTTGCTCAGCTCAGCCGCTACGCAACGCCTCCCACTGGCACCTTTTGCTTCCTATCTGGGCCTTATCTCAGGCCTCTCAGTGTTAGAGAATGGGGCTTCCGCTACTAAGGCTCTCCTGGCCATGTGGGCCGCTGCCCCGCCTCAGAACCCCCTCAGAGCGCTTCCAAAGTGTTCTACAACCCACTCCAACGTTCCAGAGCATTCTACAACCAACTCTCGCACTCCCCAGCACGCGCCGCCGCACTTTCAAGAAGCTTAAGGCTAGACCACGCCCCACGAACCGCCTCCGCCCAAACGAGCGCAGTAGGCTGACCTGCTTATTGGAGACCTGGCGGGGCGGGGCAAGTTCCAGTGTAGCGACGTCAGGCAGCGCCGCTTCTGTCTGCTGCTGGCCGGAACTGTGGGGGGGCAGCTATGGGGGCGCAGCTTAGCACGGTAAGCTGCGCGGGGGCCCTGGGAGTTCCTGGCCTGGGCGTGGGGCTCCTTCCCCTTCCAGTGGGTCTTGCAGCGCGGGGCCCTGCCTTGCAATGGCCGGTGCAGAGCAGCGCGTCTGACATTGCATTAGTGTGGCACCGCATTTGCATCGCACCGCTCGGCATTGGCAGCGGCGCGGGCTCTGCCTGGCTCTGGCTCTGCGCTGGCTCAGGCTGCGGGCTAGGGAGCGGCTGACTGACGGTGCTTGATGGGATCGCCTCTGAGTCGCCTTTTCTTGCCTTTCCGCCCCGGCCCGGCCAGCAAATGGCAGCGCCACAACCGCAGGGGGCTGTATCTAGCTGGGGAGAGGGGCGCTTAGAGACACTCCCTGGCTCGTGTAGGCAAGATCCTGCCATCTGACCGGTTAAGAAGCACTTCTCTACACAGCGAAGCCACCGGAGGAAATGAATCCTGCCTTCAGGAAACTGCTTCCTTTGACCCTCCCCTGGTCCTCCTCTCCATGTCATGCCCACTTTGTAAGGCTCAAGCCATGTTTTCCTGGCCCAGGTGCGAAAGTTGCAAAATCAGTCACCTGTGTCATTGGAGCAGAGTCGAGTTGCACCCAGGAGAGAAGTGGGGGCCTAGTAACATTATAGGAAACGTCTTGGGGAAGCTCTGCGCCTTCAGTTAGTTTAATATCAGGTTTAAGAAAAGCCATAATGCAGCAGCAGGCATCAGGATAAATCTTGCTTAATGCTCTTCTTATGGTGGGAAAGCAGTTGGACAGTGTTGTTAAAAATACACAGATACAGCAAATACTCTACATGTGGTCAAGGAATCATATCTCGAATTTAAGTGTAATTCAGAAAGGTAAGCAAAGGCCCCTTTAGAGGTGGAGACAAGAAGCATTTTGGGCTCCCCTAGGAGTAATTGAACTGCCCTTAAATCCAGGAATATGCTTTCAGCTTAACTTTTGAAGTGGAGTATCAGCTATCTGATGGAAAAGTAGCCTATTTTATAAAAGTAATTTTCTTTTTGCAGGTTTGATGTGTAGAAGCAATAAAGCTAGCAAGTGAAGAGTCTTGGGTGACACAGTTGTCTGTGGTACTGCTGTAGTTGTCCAGGGAGCTGATTATTTTTTTTTTGTAGTTGAAAATTAAGTCTTGTCTATCTTGTGCAAAACTGAAGTACCAATGTGCTTGCGTACTAAAGCTTTAACATGTAGGAAAGCAATAGGATGGCATTTTAGCTGTATCTGGCTGCTTTATGGTTCTTAAAAGTAAATGCATCTACTGGTTGTGTTCCATGTATGTTCAGAATATTTATTTTGGCCTGTGCAACTTTTTCTGATGGGCTTCTCTGCCTTACTTTGAATTTTTAAGGTCACCATTCATGCCTTTATAAATAAAGTAATGCAGATATATTCCAGAGATAATAAATCCTTGTGCGCTAATGATCTAGAAAGGAAGAAAATATTAAGTTATCTGACTAGTCATTAAGCGCTCATAAAAAGATTATTCTGTGACATTCTAGATATGCATGTGCACGATACATGTGGAAATGCTAATATGAACTCTGAATGGATGAGGAATAATAGAGTTCTTGATTCTTGTAACTTATCTCTGATTTATTTATTTGCCCTAAGGTTTTCAAAACAGTGGCCTTGCAGTTGTGACTCATGGCAGAGATTTTTTGCAGAGTCATGTGGCTTGCTGAGAGATGGGTTTGTGTTGGAGAGTGCTAGCAGTCATTGGCATCCAGCAGTACCATCTTCCAACAGCTGCCTGGTTTATTGCATCCCTTTCCCATCCTCCAGTGCACCTGTTTAACTATTTCAAACTCTGTGGGTGTTTGAGGAGGACCTGGAGGAACTGGCTGGGGGCAGCTGTAAAGTATGTAACTTCAGCTGCTGCTGCTAGTAAAGGGGAGGGCACAGATGCATGAAAGAGAAAGGCATAGTGACAGATGTACCCTCCCCTGTCCTCCCAAAAACTAATGAAAAAAGCCTCTCCTGGTAACCTGAATGAGGGGTATTTTCTGGGGCATGGGGATGAAGTAGCAGCTGATCACCCTGGGCATATTGTACTAAAAAGCTTGTTCCTTGTGTATATTATGCTACAACTCCATGACAGAGTATTTTGCCACAATAGAATATTATAACAAATTTCAGAATTTGGCTGGTAGATGCACTCCCTTCAGTTATTGCCCCCTCAGATAACCCTAGGGCCGCAGTAGCTGCTGGCTGAACTTGTGCTTTGCAAAGGTTGTAAATCTGAACATTTTCATTGCCTGCCTATGACCACCCCCTAATGCAATAGCTGAGAATCCAGGTGCCATAATAAACTAGAGCTTTCGTTAATGTTCTGTGATTTTTTCCAAAATGGCGTCTGACTTTGCTAATAAAAACCCTTATTTTGTTGTGACTTATCCTTTTTCAGGGCTGTGCATGATTGGAGACTATGACTCACTAAAGCTAGAGAGAGAGAGAGAGAGAGAGAGTTTTGCCTTCTCTTGAACACTTAACTGCTATACACTGATACAGTCGCCATGACTTCAGTGAAGCTATCTTAATGCCCTATGAAAAGAGCACATAGAATAACATTGTTTGTCCTGCTAGTATGTTTATAATCTTGTCTCAGTAAGGAGGATAGATTACTTTGGGGAGGGAGAGTACCTCTGCTGAGTCCAGCTGCCTAATTGGAACATATCTAAATAATGATTTTGCTTTCACCCTGCTTGAACAGTTGGGAATAAAGCCCAGATCTGCTTTGCAGATTTAAGACAACTACATCTTTAAAGGTCACTCTTTTATTTCAAGCCTAAAACGTCATCTATCTTAAAAATTTTTTATCACTTTCAGTAGTAATCTTGTCACCAGAAATTAAAAGAAGAAAATAAACTTGACCCATTTCTCTTTGGCTTGCTTTATTCCCCCTCTCCCCCCCCC